ACCACCTCTAATAAAAATAGATTTTTTTTAAAAAAAAAAAATACGTTTTAAATTTATTCCTATCCAAGTAGAAATGTAAACAAAATTGTTCACTTTCTATACAAAAATACTTGTATTATCTTTTATAAGTAATATTAACACTTTACCTATATAACATCTTTATTATCTACAAATTTATCAAAATAATCACATACAGCATTTTTATTTTTTTATCATTTTCGTCTAGTGAGCTTAAAATAGAATTTGATTTTTCTGGAAGTTTGCTATTTTTTTTATCTAAGTTAAGTTCTTTATTAGGCGTATTCTCTTTTAAGTCTGAATCAATTTCATAATAAGAATGCTTTAAATATTTTTGTTAAACATTTTAGACACTTGAGAATGAAAATGTTCAAAATATGAAAAAAAAGATAAAAAAAAGATTGATGATTAATTAATAATATAGTTAGTAAATTTTATTATAAATTGATCAGATCAGATTAAGGATTTGATTTGATTCGATATCAGGTCATCAAATTATAGATTTAATCTAAAATTTTTAAGTCAATCCATCAGGTTATCTAATCCATCAGGTTAAATTCAAAACTCTAACAAAGACTTTAAAAGTTAATTTTCTTAAATTAAAAAGCTAAAATATCATTAAATTAATTTTAATAAAGATTAATATTTAACTAAAACAAATTTGCTATATAACTTCATTAGTCTTTAAAAATTTATTTTTTTAATTTAAATTGTTAAAATTTTATTAAAACAATAAAAGTAAATTCCATTGTTATTACTATTATGAAAATTTTGATTTACTTTATAAATATTAAATTAATTTTAATAAAAATAAATATTTAACTAAATTTGAATCTATTAAATAACTTTATTTAAGATTTATAAATTAAATTAATTAAATTAAAGTGCTAAAAATTATTAATTGAAATTAAAATAATATAAAAGTAAAAGAAAATCTTTTTGATATAATTTTAATAGTGTAAATAATAAATAAATAAATAAATTAGTAAATATATTTAAATATGCAAATTATGTAATATTAATAATGATTATAATAATTTGAAGTATATATTAATTATATTTTTGATTTAGTAATTTTGAATTTATTAAATTAATTTGATTATATTAATTTACAATAGCTGATTTTTGATAATCTTTGATTTTAAATTAATTTAGACTGATTTATCATTAGTATTTAGAAGTATAAAATTTTTTTTAAAAATACATATTATTTAGTATATTTATTATTAAAAAATACTTTGAAAATATTTCTTTAAGAACTTATTCTTATGAATTCTTTAAATTTCATATTATTTAATAGCTAAATATATTATTATCAAATTTTTTAATATATCATTTTTATAAATATTAAATAAGTTTTTAAGCAAATAAAAATAAGAATTTTTGTCTATAAAATATCATATTAAATTATTTATTTAGAAGATAAAGTTTTATGATTAGGATTATTTTTCTTTTTTTTTATTTTATATTTAATTTTTTATAATATATATTTTTTGCCTATATTATTTGATAAATAGTAGAAAAGAAGGAAACTATCAAAAAAATTTTTTTTTTTTGTAAGTTTAATATTATTTTTTTAGTAAAATAAATATAGATTTAACATTAACTCAAAAAATATTTTTTTGGTAATTTTTTTCCTTTTTACTATAAAACGCTTATATAAGCAATCCATAAAACATTTTTATTAAGTGATTTAGTGATAATAAAAGTAATAAAAGAGGTATATTATTTTCATATTAAATTATTAATTATATACTTATGATGATGTTTCATATAGCAAATATATAATACACAAAATTCTATAATAAAAATTCTATAATATTAAAAAAATCCCAGTATGTTTAATTTTTTTATAAAATATTAAAAATCTTCTTTTAATACTAAAACTAGTTCTTGAAAAAAAAAACAAATTTGCTGATTTAAATATCTAATTAAAATTAATATATTAAACTGACTAAAAATTAAAATTTATTTTTGTTTTTGTTTCTTGAACCTTTTGTATAAACTTTAGCTATATTTAGCATCTTATGGTAATGAAGAAAATGTTATTTGATGATATTATATGATGTTGTTAGATATTTCTAGTGAGTATAACGTTATAAAGGAGTTCTTATTCCAACAAAATTTGCTACCTTTTTTTTCAAATCTGTAAATAGTAATTTCAAACCTTTCATTAACCAAAGGATTTAATTTGGATGCCTTTTATAGTGTACCTTGATATTAGATATTCTGAAATTTTCGATCAATCTCCAACTCAAAATTCAATTACTTTTTCAATAAAATATTATCTATATGACAATTACATCACGGTCCAAAGTACACTCTTATTAATAATTTTCTTCCATCTCTTCCTCGTTTATTCTGATTTCTGTGCAAATCGTGAATTATGTATCCTTCATAATTTTGCGCGGTGGTCATAACGCGTGACTACGAAATGATAACGTTCAATATAAAAAAAAAAAAAAAAAAAAAGTAAGAATGAAAAGGATTATTTGACAAGATGTTTAAAAATGATAAAAAAATTAGCTCAACAAAAACTTATGATTTCACAAAGAAGAATGGTATGAGAAATCAACGTAATGTTAAAATTTTGTTTGGAACCATATTTCATTCAAAATATTCTGATCGAAAATACCCAATTTTCAACCCATCCAACTTCGCCTTGATCCTGTTCTAAGTTTATTTAAATTAATTTTACATTTTGAAATAATTATTTAGCATCATTTGTTAATTCTAAACTTTTGTATTTTATTAATCTTGACATTACATTTGTGAACGTATCGCGTGACCTAAAGAAATCTGACACCATTCAAGAAAAAATTATAATAAATTTGCTAATGAATTTTCAATTCTGAATTAAATTACTGAAATAAGCAATATTAATATTGAACTAGCCTTTTAAAAATACAAAAAGAAAAAGAAATTACTGTCCATCAATCTAAAAAAACTTATTAGGTGTTCATCTTATTATATTCTCTCGTTCGAAAGAACATATGACACTGTTTCGGTGTCCTCGTACCAACATCTTTCGAAACATTAATCCATTTTTTGCCATATATTTCAAAGGCTTCCCAGAATTTCTTGATCTCTCCTTCTTTCCACCTACCAGTATTAGCATGTGGGTTAGCTTTCGGATTGTTCCAATAATATTTTTTTATCTCATTTAAAGTTCGATCTGGAAAATTTTTCATGATTTTATCCCAATCATGATCATATTTTAAAATGGCATCTCGGAGTTTATTATTTTCTTCCGGTGTCCAAGGTTTAAAACTAAGCGTCTGATATCTCATCAGGCATGAATTATAAGGTCGATCTATAAAATCGCTGATTATATTCCATTTACCTCCGTATTCCTCAATTAATTTGAATAAGAGCCTATCTTCTTCTTTTGTCCATTTACCGCTTTTTTTCTTTGAAACTTGTTTCCACTTTTTTTGAATCTGATAACTATCTTTAGTTCTAATTAATTTTGATATCTCTGTCCAATTTCCGACACCATATTTTTCCACTCCTTTGATTAATAATTTATTTTCTTCAGTCGACCATTTATTATAATATGATGGTCTCGATTCGCTTAACCTAATGGTTTTCCATTTTTGACATAATGTTTCAGGTTTTTTATTAGATTGAAAATACTCCTTTGTAATATATGTCCATTTATTTCCATGTTTTAAAACTGCATTTTTAAGAATATCTGTTTCATGTTGTGTCCAATAAGTCATATCTTTCGATTTTAGGTTTGGAATAACTTGCTCGTCATTATTAGAATTATCCGTAGTGGTTTGTTCATTTTGACTTGAATTACTATACTTTTGTAAACCACTAGTCGTAAGAATTTTTCTCAAACAATTTTCAAAGTGAATTACTCGTATATTTACATTTAGAAACAATAATGATCTTTTTAACATCTTTTAAAATCATTTATTTATATTAACGTTAAACAATAAAAAAATATTCAAATTTTTTGGTTTAATTGTTTTATTTATGAGATGGTGTACAATTACATCATTGACATATGATAATGACAATGGGTATTTTCGCCAGCCTATTGGGGGTGGGTATCGAAAATGTGTGCGACATCAGCTTTATGAAATTCTATTACGAAAATATTCTTTTGTTGTGGATCTTTCAAAGGAATACTTTATTAAGATTCCTCTCACTACATTTACCTAACTTCTTAACATAATAATTTTTAACTGTAAAATAATTAAGCTTGTTCAAAGTAAAGAGCACAATTATACCCAATCAATTATGCCTAAAGTAACGGGCGTATTATGACCAAAGTAAAGAGCAACGAACGTCATTTTGGAGAATTTTTATTTTATATCAAACAATCAAAAATAATTAAATTTAACTTTTTTTTAAAACAACTTAAATTATTCTTGAATTTATTGTAAAAAATAAAAAAAAAAATCAAGAAAATTCACTATGTATATATCAATGTTATTTTGAATATACAAGAAATTCTGACCATGCTGGTTTATGGGAAAGAATCGCAAATAATTTAAACACAAATAATAATATTCAAATAACTGCGAGACAGTGTCAAAATAAACGGTATTCCTTAGTAAGAGGATACCATAATGCAAAAAGAATTTTAGAAGGAGAAGCCAGAAGAACAACAAATATAGTTTTATGAATTGATGAGAAGTGAATTCTGGCTTTCTAGAGGTAGTAGCTTAAATTTATTATTTATTTTTATTTAAATATATATTTATTAAATATATTTATTTTATATGCAACATGGAGAGCTTATTTAAGATGAAGAATTGAGAGGTGTTAATTAGCATATTAAGAGTGCAGGCATTCTTGGAATCGATCAAGAAGTTAATAATAAATGAAAATCTGCAAATAAATAGTTCAGTCATGAAAAAATCAATCTGAAGTAATATAGTAATTATTAAAAGATTTAAGTAATATTATGTAATATTATATAAATAATATTAAAATTTTTAATTCTGTAGCAAAGAATTAAGGGCGATATGGGATTTGGGTTCAAATCTGATAAGGAAGATGATGAGGAAGATAATGAAAGTGTTCATTCTCGAGAACAATCTGTAGTAGAAGAAATTATAGAAGTTTTGGGTAGTAGTGCCACTGATATACAGCAGATGCAATTTAAGTAGTTAATTTGTATTTTTTGAAAAAGCAGTTTGCTGTAGAAAAGGCATATATCTGTGGACTCTAGCACAACTTCTAAGCGTTTCTTTTTTTAATATAATAAATTTTCTGAGAACCGCTGAGTGATATGATATAGAAATTAAAATGCAAAATTATCAGCAAATATAAGCCAGTTGGTGAAAACTATCAAAAAATTATTATAAATAGATTTTAATATCTCCTTAAATAGATCAAATAAAAAATACAATAAATCCTTTAAACTATTATACATACAGTACATAAAATAATAAATGATTAATTATAAATATCCATTTTGTAAGTGAACATTTAATAGTTATTCAGGATATAACAAGTATATTAATGTTTGTAATTCATTTAGAAGTGATGAAAGTGATGATAATTCTATTATAGATATTAATGATATTTTATTAGAAAGTAAAAAGATTTTTAATTCTATTAATTCTATTGAGATATATATTATAGATAAAGATTTTTGACTTTTTGGAAAATATTTTTAAATATAATTTATTTTAGATGCATTATGAAAGTTTATATAAAGATCTTCCTTCACCTTTTGAAGAATTATCACTTTTAAGTAACTATAACAGCAATTCAGAAAATTTTATATCTGAAGATTCAATAATAAATCAAGATATTTTAGAAGAAGTTGAATCTGAAGTAAATGTAAATTACCCCAATAAAGTATATGAAGATTTTATAATATTAATAATTAAAAATAAATTGAGTAATAAAGCAGAAAATGAAATAATCCATTTTTTTAATAAGCATGTAAATCTTACTAAATCTTCATTATCTAAATCAATTGAACAAGAATGATAATATACAGATAATATGAATCAACAAAATTTAGTTTATCAAAAGACTTGTATAATAATTTATAATAATATTGAATATTATTTTCATTATTGCAATCTTATAAATTGCATAAAAAATATTCTAATTATTTCTAATATAATAAAAAACTTTATGTTAAATTTTAAAAATCTTGAGATACAGTAGCGATCATAAGTATCTGATCACCTAAGATTGTCTAAAATTATTATATAACTACCCCTTAAATTTTTTAGAAATATAATGTAACACAATACATGATTACCTGTAAATTTATAAGTATTAATGATACAAAAAAAAATTTAGATAATCATCAAACTTTCACTTGAAAAATAGAACTTTCTTTAGAGAAATGATATAAAATTGTCTTTTTACGTGAACACTCAGCTAGTCCAAAGTTTAGTTTTAGATTTATTACTAAACAGATACGTTGTAATAAGTTTACAGCTATTTATTGGGTTAAAAAATATTATGAAAATTAGGACTTAAGTACTTCAAAAAAACTAAAGCAGCCTTGTATAATATTTACGAAATAAGATGATAAGATTGTAAAGATGACAAAAAAAAACATAATATAACAGCTATTCAAATACAAGAAAAAATGGAAGAAAGAGGTATTGGGCTTAGTGTAAAAATAGTAAGGTAACGTCTTCGTAAGTCTAGAGGAAAGTTTAGTAATAAAATTTCTAAACCTTTACTTAAAGAAGACAATTGAAAGAAAAGTTGCAATGGGCAAAAAAACATAAGAATTTTGATTGGAATTGAGTTGTTTTTACAGATAAGAGTATATTTTAATTATATACATCAAAAAAAAGGTTTGGTAGTTTTCTGATAGAAAAAAAGTATTTCGTTCTGTTAAGCATCCATCAAAAGTTCATATTTAGAGATGTTTTTCTGTTTTTGGATTTGGTAAGCTATTTTGCTTTCAAAGGAATCTTAATACTAAATTTATATGTACTATTTATGAGCAGAATCTTTTGACTTCCACCTCTAAACTTTTTAGTAAAGGTAACATAGATTGGATCTTATAAAAAGATAATGATCTAAAACATCGATCAAAAATCACAAAAAAATGGAAGAAAATGGCATTGAGGTACTTTCTTGGTCATCAATGTCTCTAGACTAAAATCCTATAGAAAATGTTTGGAGGTTAATAAAAATTAATATACAAAAAAAAAATTGATCAATTAGAGAGTTAAAGAGAGAACTTACAAAAGAATGGAACTGATTATTACCTATACTTGCACGAATTTGATAGCTAGCATGAAAAGGCATACAGTTGCACTTATAGAGTTAGATAATGATTACACAATGTATTAATTTTAATTAGTTGGTTATGTATTTTTTAAATAAAAAAAATTTTAAATTTACTTATTTATAGCTGGAGTTAGAGGTAGTCAGATACTTATGACTGCTACTGTAATTATTTAAATTTATATTTATATATTATTATATTAATATCAATTATCTTAAAGATTGATGAAAAAAGAATATATAGTAAATATAATACTGAAATATGATAGAAAAATACTAAAGAATGTTTACTAACTGACGTAAAACTTTTATCCTTGATATTATATTCTGATGTAACTAATATAAACACATTAGGTAAAAGTCAACTACATCTTATATACAGTATGTAACTATTGATAATATTAAAAATTGGTGACGCAATAAACCTAATGCAAAACAATTGTTAGAATATTACCAATTTTATCAGCAAATGATAATTCTGATAAAAAATCTGATAAATTTAAAAGAGTAATATAAGGAGCTTTTTATAATTCCTTAAGTTCTAGTAGTATTGAGATAAAAGGACTTGAATTGTTAGACAATCAGCCTTCAATTGGTTCTCTTTCAGATACAGACAAATTTTCTTCTAATGAAATCTACTGATTTTGGATGAATTCATAAAATATTAAGAAATCAAATATTTCTGATAGTAAACCATTTTTTAGCAAATTTCTTAAATCATTATCTGATGATATAATTATTTCAAGTAAAATGCTTGATTTAATAGTTGAATATTATAATGTGACTTATATCATGTTTAATTTTAGAAAGCTATTTGATAAGGATTCAGAAGATAGTATAACAATTTAGATTAAAATAAATCAATTCAAAAAGTACTGAATTAGTTCTGAAATCTTTAGATTATTAATGTTTTTATGATATGTAAAAATTTGTATATTTTAGCTAAATTTATTATAAATGATGATACAGTCGATTGTTACTCTGGTTAAGTCTAATATTATTTTACACATAATCAGTATATCATATTTTAGGTTGATTTTTATTAATTAATTATCGAATTTCAACCTGACAAAATGCAAAAAAATATTTGGCTATTAATTTAATTAATAAAAAATATTATTTATGAAAATAAATTGAATGTTTTTAGCATTATTTGGCTGTTAATCCTAAATATCAATTATATTTCCTTCTGAATTTATTTTATTTTAAAATATTTTAGTTGATTTTAGATGTATACCAATAAGATATAAATTAGACATCAATTGGTTATAAATAAAATAGGATGAATTTTAGCTAATTCTTAGCTGATTTCTAATATATACCAATTAGATGTAAATCAGCTATAAATAAGATAGGTCAAATTTTAGCTAATTCAGTTAGGGGATATACCAAAAAGGAAACAGATTCTAGAATATTCTATTACAGATTCTTGAAATTTGATTAGCTTATTTATTCATTTTATACTTATATTTTGAAAAAATTTTTTACAATATTTGTTCAATATAAAACTTTTAAAACAGATAGAACAAGATGTTTAATTTTCATAATCACAAATAATCTCACATAGTTAAGTCTATTCTGTTAAAGTAAATGAGAACTTAAATTGAGTATTTGCTTTATATATTATTACGCCAGTTCTTTTAGATCATGGGTAAATCACCTACGATATCACAGTTTAGCAGAAGGTTTCCTTCACATGGAAGAGTAAGAATAGAGATACAAGATAAGAAATTAAAGAGAATCACGACAAACTGGGTGAAATACGTGCAAATAATTATTTAACAAATAAAAGACTAGTACTGTCTCTGTCGGTGCGTCTGTATTAAACAGTTTATTTATCAAAAGAATTATTCAAGACAAGACAATTCTCATCCTTTTTTACATCGATGAATCATTCCTATTTATATAAAAATACTTACTAATAATGATAAAATAAATAAAATAAAGAAAAT